TATATAATAGTGAATAATAGGGTTTGACCAGTATAGTAACCTAAATTGAGTTTCTTAACAGCACCCAGATATTCAGGAGCACAGTAGTTCAGCAGTAGTACTACTGTTTTCACATCAGCGGAAGACAGAGCAGCACGTTCAAGTTGAGGTCCAGGGTGGTGGAATGAGATGAGCAGTACGGGGTGTGGCGTTGTGACGCTTTGGAGTTTACTTACTGCTGCTTAGTAGGGAATAAGGGAATACAATCCCTAGATAGTTCCTATATACTTTGATAAAAACCCCAGCCTTTTCTCTACTGACCACCAATAAGTTTGAGGCAGTGTTCAGGTCAAGTGGATATTTTCCAATTTGTGTGTAGCGGCCTGCAGCGAGGTTTCCATTGATGCTGTTAGGTAGCTCTGAGCAGGTCTCAAGCTTAATCTGAGTTCTTGTTAAGGAACTTAGATTCAGGTACCATATTATGGGTATATGCTTATCAAGGGGGTTCCTGATTATAGTACTTTAAAAAGGTCCATAACAGCAACCCACTATGGGGGTGCTATGCCCCATGTGGATGTTTCTTACAGGGACGCCGAAACATGGAGATTGCTCATCGAGGGACGCGACAGAACGGCGGACATGAATCCAGAGGCTCTCTATAAATCCTGTTAAGCCAAGACCCAACCATGAATTGGAAGCACCAGGAGGAATAAACTGCAGCAGGCTTGCATACAGCCCCAGCCGAAAGTGCAATCCTTCCCCCAAACTTACGTGGAAGGCGAGGCTCCATATTCCGCTCAGCTTTGAAGGGATAGTCGTCATGATGGTTATCCCCTCAAACTCATTTTTTGGTATTGTTTAATTTGTTCAGGCTCGTACTGTAATCGATTCCAAAGCTCGGCTGCCTGCCCATGTATAGTAGCCATAGAACCTCCAGTTGCATAGAAGTTCCCCCACTCGTTTCCATTCCTTCATCCCCCGCAGTAGACCGTAACACCTAATGACCCATGTGGCAGTTTCCAATCTTCCTAAGCAAGCCCTAAACCCTATAAACCCCAAACCCTAAACCCTTAAACCCTAAGCCCTGTAAGCCCCAAACCCTAAGCCCTTTAAACCCTAAGCCCTAAACCCTACAACCCTATAAACCCAATAAACCCTAACCCTACAAACCCTCAACCTTAAATTAGAAAAGCTTGGCAGGAGCGGAAGCAAGCTCGCGCGGGAGAGGCGCCTCGGCGAGATGGGCTCTTCTCAAGACTGGGTTGCTGTTAGGAATTGGGTTTAGGGTTTATGATTTAGGGGTTTAGGGTCTAAATTAAGTTATCAGAATATGGGCAAAGAGGGTTTAGGGGTTAGGGCGTTGGGTTTTTGGAGTTTAGGGTTGTTAGGGTCTACGGTTTAAATAGGATTTGAGGGTTTAAGGTCTATGGGTGAAGGTCTACGGGTACATAGTAAATAATAGGGTTTCCTGATAATAGAAGCTTTCCGTAACAGCCACGCAGTCTTTTCAAGACGATGGTTTGTTTTATCAAAGATATTACGGCGCATAGTATGTCAGGGGTTCAAGAGATCCTTATTTATGGAAGCTTGCTTACCACTGCTACAAGTCTGCCGGGTATTGTCGGTCCTAAAACCCCTAAAGCCGAAACCCTACACCCCTAAGCCCTAAACCCCTGCACCCCTAAACCTTAAACCCTAGACTGCAAAACGCTGAAACCTTCATTGCAGCCAGGCGACCAGGGCAGTTAGAGATAGTAGGGACTCGTGCGGAGCGCTTGAAAGGAGACGCAGGACCGGGGATACTTGACAGATTGCAAGGGGCTATGGAGTTTACTGTATAGGGTTGAGGGTAATCGTGCTGAAGGCCTGCGAATAGGTCTGTAATAGAGCCAACAAAGAGACCAGCTTTCCCTGACACCCCGAGATATTAGAAAGGTTTGATGTCTAGCAGCAGCTTTCAAAATCCTCAGCCCCTTATGATCCTTACGTTGGTAGACTCTAACACCTGCAACACGTATAGAATTAACGTCTGCCCGAAACGTTAAACCCTAAATCCTAGTCCCCCATATTCGAACCCCTACGGGCCAGCTATGTGGTCTCAATAAAATGGAGGAACCCCAATAACGACCTTTTGGGGACCCCAAAAAGGTATGCAATCCCAGTTTTAATTTCATTCTCCATGTTCTTCCCCATTCCATTTTCCATTCTTCTTGGCGTAACATCCCTACCTAAATCCTATCCCTAATCTCTAAATCCGTAAGCCCTACATCCATGAGTTTGAGAACCTAGACCCTCCTCCTACCCTCTATTAGGGCCTAAGAACCCACTATTAGGGACCATATATCCCCAATTAAGGGTACAAGGAGGGTCCTGGAACCTTCCTTCCCAAAGCCTCATTCCTGGAGGTAGATCGGCTCGAGAGCGCTGGGGCCATCTTGGGCGAGTCGAGGTCAGGGGGCAGTGGGGACACGGTTGAGGGCTTAGGGTTTCCAGGGTTTATGGGGTTTATAGGGTGTAAAATGGGGTTTAGGGCTGAGGGTCTAGGGCTCATGGAGGTTCAAGTGTGGTTTACGGTTTAAGGTTGAAGTGGGGCTTAATTAGGGTTTGGGGTTAAATGGGAGGGTTTTGGTTGTGACCTGGAATTCCAGCTAGATACCGTATCTACTACTTATAGGTCTTGTGAAAGTGATGCTATTTTGAGGTATTCTGGAAGGATGTATTATAGTATTCTGAGTATTGTAGACTGATAGGGGTATTGACTGCATGTCCATCTCTGCTTGGAAATTCAGCATAATTGTAGCCAAGTCAAAGCTGGTACTTCTAAATCTGAACCTGTTATAACCTAAACCCTAAACCCTAAACCCTGGACTTAGGGGCTGATAAGTTATGCATTCCATGTACAGTTCTGCCGGGGTTAATACTTACCCGGAACTTCAAAGTAGGGGCCTGGCATCCTGAGAATTGCATAATAGATTGCTTGCATCGCCTCCCATCACTTCTAGCCCTTAAGCCCTGCAAGGCCTAGGTTGCAGAAGCAACGCTGTTCAGGGTTGAGGGCTTAGGGTTTTAGAAGCCCTAAGCTCTAGGCTAGACTACCCTAAGGCTCCTAGGGCTATTTGGGGCTTTCTGGGAAGGCTTTGGGCTTTGGGGGCTAAGGTTTGGGATCCCATTATGGGGGTCCAAGAGCCTTAGAGTAGGCACTAGAAAATTTCCATTGCTGCTTGCAGTCCTGATTTCTACACCGGCTAAAGCCTGAAGCTTAAGACACGTAAGCCTTGAAGCATCCGAAGGCTTAGTTGTAGATCCTACCCTAGGGATCCATGTACACAAATATTACCTACATTGGGCCCTAAAGTCTGTAAATATTACCTACATTGGGCTATTTTGGATCCCTAGGGCTATACCTAAAGTCTCCCTTAAGGCTGGTACTCCAGATTGAATTTGAAAAGTAGACTTTTCGCATTCAGGCTTTATCTCGAAGTGGAACGATTGCAAAGTTATGCTGGCATGCAGCTCAAAAAGTTAGAACAGATTTAATTACAATCGACAACAACTCTGGAAGCTGATTTCGAGGAACAACATTCAGCCGTAATTTCCCGTGATTCGGGCGTCTTTTCCCATAGCTCTAAATCTAGATTCCCTAGGTTGAGGCTGAGTGCATGTAAGTCCCTGAAATCAACACCGCGCAACCCATGTTGAGGGTAATCTGCTACTTGTCGGCTTCTCGGGCTAAGTTGGAGTTTGCTCGGCCCAGAGATAGTCTTCTGGATTTTTAGGCCCCTGAATTTATTGTTTTAATATTCGGGTGGGGTTTTAATATTAGGGTGAAGGGATTACTGTTCTTCTCTTGGGCTTCGTTTCTTAATTCCGGCTCTTTGAGGGTCTAAACCCTTTCGGGCTAGTCTTCCAGCCTCAGCGTGGATCTAGGTAAGCCCTAGACTCGAAATTCGCTGAGAACCCTAAGACCCTAAGCCATACCCCACCCTAAACCCCAAACCCTAAACACCACACCCTAAACCCTAAACGCCAGATTCCTTTTCGCAGGTAGATGGCGTTCGCTTCCCGGCGCATTTATGTTTCACCAACCTGTGCAGCGAGGCGCAGGTCGAAGCTGCCAAAAAAATATTTAGGGTGGGATTATAGAGGGGAGTATTATGGGGTACTATTTTGGGGTTTAGGGTTTAGGGTTTAGGGTGGGGGGTTATATAAGGGAAAATGAAAAAAGAAAATGGAAACTACTACAGTCATGGGTTATATAGGGGTTATATAGGGAAAATGGAAAAGAACGTGGAAACTACTCTTGAGGGTTTAGGGTCAAGGTTTTTCTTGATTTGGGATCTAGGCTTCTAGCTTGTGCATGTTCATATGGGTACATCAGCAATATCGCTTGGATGCTGCCTCCACTTTGTAACAGTTGGGTAAAATATTCATAATATAGTTATATAAGTATATAGCTCGAATATGATCCCTAATCTAGACTGTTACAGGGTAGGGGCAGGACACAAGTTATCGCCATTATTCTTCTTTCATTTGCCTACTATTCCGGTAATTGGGGCTCTGGGTTTACTATCGAAAGACCGCCATGCGAACGTAATGTAGACCCATGATTAATCGACCCCCGCCTTTTAAGGGCCTTAATGAGTATTAGGATCCCTACTATGATCCCTATTAAGGGGAGGGGTTTATTAATTAGGGTCTACATTGAATTGCTCTTCAAGCAATATTTGCAGCCATCTTGCTGCTCCAGTATCCGTCGCGCAGCTGACAAATCCTAGTCTGTTCATTGCAAGTGCCATGCTGGGGAACATTGCCATTTGTTTCCTTTGCGTGCTTGCGGGCAAATATGCTGTCCGCACCATCGACTACAGTGCAGGGAATCTCTTGCAGGACCCATGTAACAGAGTAACCAGTCTCCATTTACTGGTTCGTTTTAAATTCTCCATCTATCGCTGTGAGGACAAAGGAGCCGCGGAAGGTTTTGAAGCAACCGCCGTCGCCATCCGGGAGGCCGGGAGGATGAGATGCCTAAGATGAAATCTTTGAAGAAGCATCTTCAAGCGATGAATGAGAGCTCCGAATTGGTTGTCACCGGAAAGGGCTTCTTCTGGAGGAAGTACTGCAGTGTGACGTGTCCATCGGCATGGATCAAGATTGTCTATCACTCTTTCATGGCTCGATATGATGCCAAGGCTGTGGTATCGCAAAGCTTGTCAGGAGGAGGCTTACGCCATCTCGCGACCGTTGACCGCAATGTCTATGACACCTTCGGGGCAACCATGCGGCTCTCCATTGGGGCTTTCCTAAAAGCGGTTGACAACAGTCGCGTACAGCGGCTGATGCTTTCCTTAACCCTGGTGCCTGTTGGCCTCTTCCGCAAGTTGACGGGCCTGAAGCCTTTGGGCCTGTGCTTTTTCAAGCACGCCTGGAAGGAACTGGAAGATTTGGGGGACTACGAGCAGAAGAGCGGACTTTGGTGGAAGGCGGTCTTCGCTGGATGCCCCGACGTTCCGGCCGCGCCGAGTCCGGCCTTTGAGGACGAGGAAACAGCTAGCAAGCTTCTGGGAGGAATCGTTCCTTGGCAGCAGCAGGGTAGGGTTTAGGGACTATGGGTTTAGGGGTTTAGGGTTAATAGGTTTTAGGGTTTAGGGCCAGTTCACAGTTGAGTCCCTTCCAGTTGATCTGCGCTATGCGGTTTTCTTTTCTTTTCCTGCTTCTTTCCTTCAGCGCATTAAACCCTTAAGCTACTAACCCTAAACCCGGTCCCAAGGTGAACGCCTTCTCTGCCCCTGAGGGACTCGAAGTAGAGGATGAGGCGGTCAAATGGCGGGATGCTTCCAGCCACATGCAGTGCGCCACTGGGCTTATGATCATTATTCTTATTGTTGTGATTAGTATTATGATGAAAGAATATTACATTATACTTGTCTTTATGAATTTCTTTATGATTTCGAGAACAACGTCTCAGTATTATTGCTGTTGATGTTTATGTTGTTCTCCTTATTAGCCTTAGTATTAGCGTCATCACTATCATGTGGTAATCCGGGATATTTGTTTAAACTTCCCTTACTACTCGTATTGGCATCCGTCCATGACCATTTGCAAAGAGCTTGAAAGCTTCGCTCTAAACCCTAAACCTCTAAACCCCTAAACCCACCCAGGTCATGAAGATGAGTCGAAGCGGGGTCGTTTGGCCAGCACTAGCTGTTGGGGTGAGCTTACGTTTAGACTCCTGAGACAGGGTTATGTAGGGGATTATCTTTGGTTCCTATGGTAGGGGTGTGTGATTACAGGTCTTATAAGGAGTTCAGACTCTAGCTCAAGGGTTCTGAAGGCTTTGCTTGCCTTCCCCAAAGGATCCAAATATTCCAATGCAGGCATTATTTGTGCACATGGATCCCCAGGGTTTGTTTCTTGTTGGACCGGGCGCATCTGCAGGTCTGGTCGAGCCGCCGGCTTTTCATTGAGAAGGGCACCGTGTCTTGGGCCGCAGATCCCGCCTGCGAGGGCGTCGGCATTGCCGGTAGGATTGGCTTCAACCTGGGACGCAAGAGGTACTTCTCCTTGGAGTTCCTCACGGATCCTCCTGGTCGTGAGGCCGTGAGCCTCTTCAACGAATCGGCTTGTTTGTCGATGCAGAACCCCTACCGCGAGTTCAGCTTCTGTGCCGAGCCCGGTGGCAGCATGGTGAAGGCCAACGAGGTCCTCGACGAGCACCTCGGCGTCCTGGGCACGGAGCGCCAGTTGCTACAGATGTCGGCCAAGATCGGGCGACTGATCGCTGCCAGTGGGATTAAAGATGCTGGGTTGCTGTTATAAGGAGCGTAAAGCAAGTGACTGTAATAAGGAAATCCTATTATTTACCACAATATACCCATGCTATGGTGGCTTGACTTAAGTTCCGTATCAACCCAGGATGAGGAGGTGGAGGAGCTGAAGACAACCATTGCTGAGACCGGAGACTCCAGCGTGCAAGGCCTTGCGACGGAGATTGGTGAGCTCCCGACGGACTCGCAGTCTGATGAGATTGAGGCTGCAAACAACATTTTGAAGAAGGTGAGGGAGAGCTCCTCCCTTGTCGAGTCAGGCGCTGACCTTCATACTGGCTCCGCGCTGCTTCAGGAGGCTTACGCGGAGGCTCACAGCAACAACCACCTCACCGAGGTCATGTCGGGAAAGATGGGCTTTTTTGGTTGGACGTACAGTGCTCTGGGTTTGGCAAGCCGTTGCCTCAGCTTTGTGTGGTTCGGCTCTGGGGTTCAGGGTTTAGGGTTCCCCGCTCTTGCAAGGCCTTTCTGGAATGTTGGGTCCGGCGAACATGTTTCTCTTGCACTGTCATGCCACAACGGGGGTGACTGAGGCCTGTCGACCGCACAGGTCATCTTCATTCTTCTCGTCTGCAACGGGGACCTCGTATGCATCAAAATGTTTGCCAGTATGATGAAGGATAGTGGGGGAGACTTGATGCAGATCGATTCCAACACAGCCCAGTGGACCAACAACACCCAAGAGCTGTCCTTCTATTCTCCTGAGATCCAGTGAGAGAAGAAGTGGCTATTGCTTGTAGCGGGCGCAGGGTTGCAGCCAGCAGATAGGCGCGAGGCACTCAAAAAGTGGCAGAAGTCAGGCTTTTCGTCCTCACGAGCTGTAGTACAAAACTGCTCAAAGGGGGCTAGATGGAGAAGTCGTAAGGGTCCTTTTATAAGGCTTTTTAATCGAATACTAGGAGTTCAGGTTATAGCTCTCATAACCCATGAATCGTCAAGCATTGTTCACAATTGAGCTGTTTATTGGTTTGCAAGCTGGTTATTTGCCATCGGTATCCTTAAACCAATGATGGTCGACGTTGGCTTTGCTGCTGTGAGTAGCTATCTCCCAATACATTGGAGTTTTCGGACACAATTTCGCTGTGACACTTGAGCGGCGTCCAAAACCCCCCATGTGGAAATCTACATAAGGGTTAAATCCAGATTGGCCGCGTCAGCTTTCATGGTGTGCGCGACAGCTTTCGACAGCGATTGCGTCAGTAAAATGCAGAAATGCTTCCGCGGCAGCTATTCCTGAGGCCGCGTTAGTCTGCGATAGGCGCAGGCGATAGCTCTACTTCACCCAAAGGTTCAAAGGGTTTAGGCCGCCGCTCAGTTACCGAAAGGGTCTATGTAACGGTATAGCTATTCTTGGGCCCGAAAGCACGTGTATGGGAACCATTTGATCGCTAAGTATATACCCCCAAACCCTAAACCACAAACCCCAAACCCCAAACCCTAAACCCCAAACGCCAAACGCCAAAGCCCAAGCCCTATACCATACTATGTAACGACATGGACTCTTTGCGTTAAAGGGGAGCCCGTTCACTCGCCCCTGTGGGCCTCAGCAAATGGCCAGGACTGGTTCCGTTGGTGCAAGACTTGGCCCTACAATCTACCGTAGGGAATAAGGAAAATCTACTATATGAGCTATAGTCTAAACTCCTTAAAGGGGGTTATATAGGGGATTATATAGGGGACTACTATAAGGGTTATTAAGGCGGGATACTAGGAGTTTAGACTACGGCTCATATAGGTACTTAAACCCCCAAAGTAGGTAAAATAATGGCCCAAAACCCCTAAATATAGCCCAAAAGGCCATGATTCTGCATACTTTGGGGGTCCAGGTATTACATAGGGAAAACGTTCCCGTATTCTTTACCATCAGTAAGTTTATGCCCGCAGTGTCCCGAAGATGCCGGCCGTTTTGCATGGATGCCCCGCGCAGCCATATGTAGCTTCAGGTCTGGAGTGCCGGACGAGAACAACAAAGAACACTTTAAGATCCCTCTACAATATGTTCCCTTACCCCCGACTATAACCCCTATATATACCCTACTATAATCTATTATAATGTAGTAGTTAGTTTCCATATTCTTTTTCCACTATCCATGTGTTGACACGGCCAAGTTGCCTTTAAGCCCGACAGCCGAGCCCCTACATCCCCAGGATTTCATTATGGAACCCAGATCCCTCGACCCGAAGGTGTAAATTAGGTGGAAGAATGGCTAAGTTCAAGCTTCGCGTCAGCAAGATAATGGCAAGGGTCAGGGCAATCTCTGGCACCTGAAGCCTTAACCATCCTAAACCCACAACCCCAAACCCTACACCCGCAACCCTATACTAAACCCTAAACCCCTAAACCCTAACCCCCTAACCCTTAAACCCTAAACCGGGTAGCCCGTTTGGCCGCTCGGCGTTGCTCACATGTCAGCTGGGGACTCAGCTTCCTCAACCTTCTGGACATGTTTCGTAGTTTTTTTCTTTATTGGGGTTACAGGGGATAGATGGAGTTAAAGGCACGGATATAGGGCTATAAAGGGGTTATATAGGGCTATTGGGATATATAGGGTTCAGGGGGATATGTATAGGATTATATATGGGGACATTTTGGTTTCAGGGTTTAGGGTTGGGAGCTTCTCTTGGGATGCCGGGGGTATTTATGGGGATTATGGAGGTCCTTGTTCGGGATTAAGGGGTTTCGGGTTTCCAGAGCAATCTCTTATCATTGGGTCCGAGAGCTTTCTCTTGGGTTGAACTCACAAAGGATCGCGGCTTAGGGTGTAGGAGTATATAGGCTTTATGTTTTGTCTAGAGGGTCTATACCCCAAATAACTTTTTGGGGGCTTGGGAAGTATAGTAGGTCAGCCAGTATGTATCCCCTCAGAGCAAAACGTGATGCGTAGATAACTTGTGAAGATTCGGTTTGTGGACTGGGCGTTGACCTCAGAGATTCCATCACATCTCAGCAAGGCGTGTGCCCGAGTAGGTTGGCCGCGTCGCAGGCTACGCAGTCACTCAAAGAGGCAACCAGCATTTGATATACGTATACTTGGCTCGCTGAGGTCCGCTGCAGATGTTCGCTACACCCCGCTGCGTGACTCCGAATCGTGACGCCCTAAGATATGGTTGAGGGACACTGTGGGCAAGTCGGATAGTTGTTAGAGTCCAGGCTTGGTCTTGGAAAGTTTTTGTACATATCAAAGGTTCCAAGAAGGTCCATTGTCCCTAAATTGGAGGGTCTACCCTGCATGATACGAGGATCCTCAAAATGATTTAAGTTATATTCCATAATTCGGGTATTGGACTTTCTGGGCTCTCTGTGACAGCATAGCAACTGTAAGGAAGAGTGAAGCATTGAGAGTTCTTGATGTCCAGCCTTTGGCCTGTCACTAGTCATGACAGTCCTCAAGCTCTTCCCCGAAGAGTGCATGAAGTTGTATAGTATATACTTAGGGCCCAAAAGGGTCCCGTATAACTTTAGGGCCCAAGTATATACTATACAGCTACATGGACCCTTTGGGTTCATGCTGTATCAATTGTGCCCTTGCCTTCATGCTGCTAGTGTTGGCGTACTCCGAAACGAGAAACTATTCAGCAACCAGCCCGACTCAACAGCCTGCATTCGGCATGGTTTAGGGCCTATGCATACTATGTAGGTATGTAGGTAGGTCGGTAGGTATGCATGTATGCATTCATGCATGTATGCATGTATGCATGTACGTAGGTAGGCAGGCAGGTAGGCAAGTAGATAGGCTGGCAGGCAGGTAGGCTGGTATGTGCATATGCCACACAGGCCGTGTACCTTCATTACAGCACGTCTTGCATGTTTCGGGAAGAGTTCCTGAAGAAGCGCTGCATATCGACGTGAAGATTCTGAATGACACTTGTTCATCCCCTTTGGGACCGACCCAACATGAATCCAGCCTCTCAGCTTCTAAAGCCCCATACAGGCCCATCAACTGCTACCACAAACAAAAGCCTGTAAGAGTCCAGCAAAACCCTGGTGAAGTCAAAGTGTTTGCAACAACCTGGGGCTCTGATTTCTGAAGTTCTTGAAGCCTTGAGTTATAAGCCTTCTGGACCCTCTGAACCTGCTTGCAACTTGTATACACCCCAGCAATCAGCTCAATAGCTCAGTAAACTCCAGAAAAAAACCTCTGAAGCTTTACAGAGATATTTTTGCTGCTTTGAAACCTATATGCCTTGTAGATCCTAAACTCAAAGTCCCAGAAGCTAACCCTAAACCCCTAATCCCTACATACACTTAAAAGCCCTGAGGACCGAAAACCCTAAACCTTAAACCTTAAGCCCTGAAGACCTAAACCCTAGACCCCTAAAACCTGAACCCTAAACCCCCAAATCCCTTATATACTATAGTAGTTGCCATTTTCTTTTCCATTATCCCTATATAACCCCTATGATCCCTATATTACCCCTATATACCCTATGATAAACCATGATCCCTGAGGACCGGGAAGTGGCAGGCGCTGTGACTCCGCCCTCTCCGCACGGTCCACGGCCCCTCCCACCAGGCACGGGAACAGGAGGAGAAGATTCGAAGGGTTTTGGGTTCGGCATTATGGGTATTAAGGTTTAGGGCTTTGGGTTTAGGATGTGAGGTTTTGGGGATTAAGCTTTGGAATTTCGGATTTCAGGTTAAGGGCCTTGGAGCTTTGCGGCGGTGCAGGGTGAACTGCCGGGCTTAAGGCCTTGCCGTTTCGAGTATGCCTGGGGTAATGGGAGGAGCGCTGGGCTAAAGACTGGCATGAAAAGGTCTCCAAGCTTCCGACAGGGATGGCCTGCATCCTGTAACTTGTGCCAGCGCCTCGTCTTTTGAGGTGTCGTCTGTTTGAATATTGCAGTAGGGCCCCCGCTGCAAACCAAATACTGCCAGGGAAACGTGCAACTACAACTTCACCCACCTGTCGGTTTCATGTTCTTTTCCACTACAGTCACTGGAAATACATGAACCCGGAAGGCTGACACCCCGGTCCCTGCGCCGTGTGAGAAATTGATACTCGCAACTTCCGGCAGTAGTTTTTCTTGCATATCTTGGTGTCTAGACTCCGAACTCAACTGCTCGCTGGGCAGAACCCAAAACCCTAACCTCCAGAGCACTTTCAAGAAGTTTGGCAACAGGCCGTCAAAGTTTTGTAAGGCTCTGGGCAAGTTACAGAAACTTCGCCTAACCTCAACCAACAAGGTGATAGCGTGGATAATTCCCCAACAGGGCCATGTTTCGGGTTCATGAATTATTTATAATGTGTTGGAATGTAACAACAAGGACACAAGCCTTGTTGTACCATTCTTCGTTTCAGGCCCTTGACCCTAAATTAACAACCCAAAGCCCCACACCCCTAAACCATAAATCGCTCGAGCCGCTTTGGCCCAAGCTTGGAAGTCGTCTTGATTTGATTTAGTTATTTCGGCTTCCTGTTCGATGTGCCTGGAACCGAGTTGCTCATCAACCAGAACCCGGCACAGTGCACGCAGGCAAGAGTCAAATCAAAAGTGTCGATCGCTTTGTTGAAAAGTTGGATGTCTCCTGCAGCAGTGGGAGACAACACATGCTAACAGCATGGACGGGAAGAACATGCGCGTAGACGAGGGAAATTGCAGACCTCGTGTCAGTAGGAGGTATGACGCTACACTTGTGCAGCTGAAGACTCCAAGGACCGAGGTGTAGCAATTAGCCTTTTTCAGCATTACCATGTCTCACATGCAGCAGCTTAC